AGCACATCTTAAGGAGAAATGAGCCTCAAACAGTTAGATATTATCGTGGCAGACTTATCATTTGGTCCGACTCTGGATCATAAGTTTTTATATATATTTTATATTATTTTAAATTTGAGTTTTATTTCATCAATTCTAACTCAAGATTTTGGTGTTTAGGATCTTTCCCCATTAGGAAACATTGATCATAACAGGCATTATTAAAGAGAAGTATACAAAATTTTGGCCGAGTTATGGAGTTATACTTTAAGATGACAGAAAAGATTGGTTTAATGCATTTACGGTATATTTTTCCTCTATATTTTTCTTTTATATTTTTTGAGATATCTTTCCTTTATATTTTTTGAGGTATTCATGATTCTTTATAGCTTAATTTTTAATTCATACAACAATGTAGGAGAAGTGTTGTTGGGATGTTAGAGATGAAGTCCAAATTGAAGAAAAATTTCACTCAAAATGTAGTGCCCGATTTTCTGACACCATGATGAATGTTAGAATTAAATGGGAAAAAAGCAAATTCCATGTTGGATAGGAGTAGAAATATTTCAATATCTTATTTTCCATTGGAATTTTGACAAATTTAAGGAAATATCTGAAAAGACAGAAAAATAGAGCATCTAAAGCTGGTGGCTGCAACTATGCAGCTGATAGTATTAGTGTTGCTGAAGTTGCATGAATGATGGTACGTAAACTTATTTGTTTTTTAATTAATTTATCATTTAGATTTTAGATTACATTTAACTAATTATTTTTTTTACTTATTTAATTAGCGTGAAGAGTTGGGTAGAATTCCACTTCTTAACGAGCTTCATCTAGAGACTCATCTCAAGAGAAATGGAGAGTTTGTTGACGAGCGCGTAAGAAACACTCAAGTAAGTTTTTATTATATTAAAAAAAATTATTTATTTCTTTTATATGGACCTAACTTATTTGAATTATTATAACATTTAATTTTTTTTTGTAGGAGGAGTTTGATAGGCAACTTCTGTAACACCCCAATTCTACCTGACAATTAATATAAAGATCAGAGTGGAAAAATTCCGACAACCGAATCAGGATGCTACAATTACAACTTAAAACTTACGACATTCATTACAGATACATAACACATTAAACTGGAATGAACCAACAACAACATAATTTAATCTTTTAAAATCAACAACTTTCATAACTACGCAGCAGAATCAAATCTTCAACTTAACAGAATATATCATCTTTGTCCAACTAAACAACTTCAAATAATAAGTATTTAACGAACAACAACTTAAAGTTTAATCAATTGAAATAATAACAACAATAAAATAACAAGCGTTCATCCCCCCGAGTGTTACGTATCAGAGCAATGACACTGACTCGAACTACTGAAGGTAAACAGTCTTCACTCTGGATTACCTGCACGTTACCAACATCGGGGTAACATTCAAACAGAAGGGGTGACATATTGAACAATATAATAATATGTATGATAATATTACATTAGAATTAATTATGCCAAATCACCACCTCACAACTTTAAACAACGTCAATCACAATGAAACATCAACGAAACATAATAAATAATTTACCAACACAACAACTCAACATACAACGTGAAATGCAACTTGTTACTATGCACATGCATGTGGTACCAATAGAACAGAACTCCCAACTTAGAAATTTACCAATAAATAGAGGCATCAACAAGGCATAAGCCTTCAACTTAATAGTTTGTCAATCCAGGCCAACTTAACAAACATCAGCTCCAACTTGATATGCAATGTATGTGACACAACATGAATGTAGCAACAATAACAAACAACGACTCAACATAAACCAATATTGACCATAAGTCTACAACTTGATAATTCAACTTAATTCAACATTGGCCATAGGCCTACAACTTAATAATTCAACTTAATTCAACATTGGTCATAAGCCTACAACTTAATAATTGCCAATTATAGATGCAATACAACATGACTCACCACTACATGTAACTTCAACAATTAATAACAACAATAAAACAACTTACACATGCCAATAATATTATTAGTTTTCTGCTAAATTAGTGAAACTATTATTTTCCTGCCACTTAAGTCATCTTTATTGCTAATGTATTTTGGGTACTAATACTACTGCTATTTACTGCTAGTTCTGCAACTAAAACTATACTAGTTATTAATTCGACAATTTACTAATTATCCTTGCTAAATATCCATTGCTATTACTTTCATATATCACCGCTACCAAAAATTTCCATTACACTGTTTGCTAATTATTAATTTTTTGCTAACAACTCTATTACTCATTAATATTACCTGCTATACTTATGCAAATCTGCAAATTATTCACTACAGTTACTAATAAATAATCTCTATTGTTATTCATCATTTTCTAACCCTGCTACACCTTTTTCTGTAACAAACTACTAAGTAACAGAAACGCAATACAGTCCCAGAACAATTAAAAGAAATATTGGTTAAGAGATTCATGCCCCTCGGCATGCAAACCGTGCCCCTCGGTACAGAATATGGTGCCGATCGGCACCCTTTATCAACACACATGTGTCGCTCAGCACATGTCCATAATTCCAGTTGCAGTTCTGCAACTATGTCCAAACTTTCCTGCGATCAGTAATTCCTTTCCTTCCCATGATCTCAGACTAACACAACAACTATACTCACATCAATATATGCAAATTTCCAACACTCGATTCATTTATTGAATCACTACAACGTTAGCACAATTATCACAAATATCAAACAACAATTTATCCATACAACAATTACATACCACAACAATTTCACACAACCCAATTTCCACGTAACATGCATCATATACCCAATTATAGAGTCAAAACCCCACCCTTACCTTGGATTGAAGGTTGCTCTATAATTTTTCCGATCGAATCCTGCTTTTCCTCTTTTCCTTCTTTTCAGCAACTTCCACGTTCTCTTTCTCTCTTTCAACCATTATTCTTCTTCTCCTTGACAAAACCTATTTTTCCTAAATATCAATCTAATTTCTATTATTATAACTAAACTTAATAATAATAGTATTGCTATTGGGCCTAATTCTCACACCCCCTTAATACTACATACCACCAAAATAAGCCTAATGACTAATACTAGTAATTCCAACATTATTATTATTATTAATCAACTACTTAATTAATTAATAATAATCTGACATCTTACCCTACAATTGTTAGAGCATCCTGAACTTGAACCACCACCGGGATATCCTGTTGATCCTGTGTTGGGTTTTCGAATATGGTATGATGTTTCAGGTGAAAAGAAGAAAAATGGGAGAGTGTATAGTGCTGGAGGGTACGCTAAAACTATCAAGCGGCGTGATAGGAGTTTTAGAATGAGACTTGCTGATGGAGAAGGAACATCAACTCCACCTATATTAACTGCTGAAGTCCTTGAAACTGTGAGAAACTTGACGAATACGGAGGCAACACTCCACGTAGCAGCAAGAAATGCAAAAATTGAAGAGATGAAGAAAAAAACAATTAGAGATACAACAACAAATGCAGAGAAGAGAAATAGAGTTGCGGGAAAAAATGAGGAGGCAAACACAAGAGTATCAAGAAGTAATGCAGATTACAAATGAGCGGGTTCAAAAATTTGATCAATTTTTTGCTTCACAAAATTCTGGTGATGGATTTGGAGGAACTAGTGGATATAGAGGAGTTGTTGAAGAAGAAGAACAAGATGAATAAGAATAGGATTTAAATTTGAAAATTTAATATTTATTTTAGTTTGTATGAAAGAATTTATGTTTTAATTTTGAACTTAAAAACTCTATTTTAATTTGCATGAAGTTTTATTTTAATTTTTATTATGTTTGATTGAATTTTAATTATTATATTTATTATGTTTAATTATATTTATTATATTAATTTTATTATAATAATTTAATTAATAGAATTATTATTATTGGTTTTTTTTATAAATATTAAAAAAATTTAAAAAATATATTTACGATTTGTCAGGGGATAAACTTCTAAGAAATTGTCAACGTTTGCAATTTGTCAGAGGCTTAATCCATCGTAAATGGAAAATCATTTACATTTTCCCACAGGCTAAACCCCAAGCAAAAATTCTGATGCACTGTCACTTATCCCGCGCCTACGTCTACATGATACCGATTATAAAAATCATATTATATTTAACGAGGGGTAAAGCCCCTGACAAAATGGCGACGTTGGAAGCCCCTCGCAATATCTACTTTGATTTTATTCGGTAAGCATTTCATTTTTTATTTTAACATAACTTGTTTTAATAAATTTTATATATTATCTTAAATTTTAAAAAAAATACATCATATTTTATTTACAAATTCATTATCACATTATCATTTTTCCAAAAAATGTATAATTTTATTTAGTATAAACATTTCAACAAATGTTTAATTTTGTTATTAATTTATAATTTTATCTAGCACAATTTGTTTTAATAAATTCCTATCATATGCAAATATTATACTTTTTCTATATATCTAACCATATCTATTCATTCTTTTTAATAATGACTATATTCTTATTTTCTAAAAAAATATACATTCTTCTCAAAAAAGTTCTCCACATCTATTTTGTTCAATAATATATTTTATTATTGTATTTCAGAGAAATTCTTACATAAAAACACGCATAAATTCATATTCATAAAAACATTGATTTCTTTTTCACCGAGAATCTTCAGCTATTTCCTATTTTACCTGGTATGATTATTTTTATTCGTAATATTTTACTTATATATATGGCACGTACAGATTCTTAAATAAATAGTATGCATATAATTCGGATAACCCGAACAAAAATGTATTTAGTCTTAATGATTATTCTTTTCTCAATAAAATCTTATGATACGAAATGGGATCTTTTTTCTCAATTGAGAAATTCTCCGCGTAAAGAGATAGAACATAATTGTTGGGATTATAAATAGCACACTCATCTCTCCCTTTCCTCTTCATCTGATCTAAAGACAACAAAGCTTGTTAACAAATATCCAAAAATGGATAACAACAAAAAGCAAACATGGTCTTCTTCATCATCAACTGTAAAATTCGATCAACTTTTCGGCCTCAAAGACTCTTCGCCTGTGCCTTCTTCTTCCTCCGTGTTTGGCTCCATTTTCCCACCAACACCACCACCCCATGTATGCATGGCTATGAACTCCTTTTGTTAACAAGGCTTTATTTTTTTTCTTATTTACCATTATATTACATGCATGGGTTTTTCTGCTTGGTCTATTATGTTGCTTTGCTAAACACACATGCCACATATTATAATGACCGCAACATGTTTTTTATTTGTAAGGTTGAGGTCAGAGGATCAAGAGCACAAGAGGTGGGAAGAAAAAATCTCGGAACACCAGGTAAATTATAATATATATATATATATATATATATATATATATATATATATATATATATATATATATATATATATATATATGGGGCCGATACGATATCAAAACTGTTATTGACATTCTTAGTGTTAAAGAAAATATTTAATTTATACTCACAAGATGTATGGCTATAAAATAACTTTAAATATGTCTACTTTTATTTAGTAATGTTTATGTTTGGATTGGTTTTAGGAAGTTCTAATAGTAACAAGAATACTAGTAGCAATTATCAGAATGTGACAGGAGAACCTAGCTACTTCAGCTCTTCAATCCACTATGGTGGCCAAGAAAATTATTCCTCAAGAAACAGGACCACTGAATCCCACCATGTTGTGAGTGCCAATTTTCATCTTTTTCTTTTTTCATTTGAAGTTGATTTGTTATTCAAGTATTTATCCAATGATTCTATGGCTAATACTAATTTTGACTTTTGCAGTTGAAGAAAGATAAGAATCATGGTGACCTCAATGGCAACAATTCAAACAGTGCTTCAAGAGGTGATTGGTGGGAAGGTAGGAATAAGAATCATATAATAATTCAAAATGAACTATTACTCATTTTCATGGTTAAATTACATTTATGTTATTTGGGTTTTTACAGGTTCCCTTTATTACTAAGTCACTTTGGCATGGTGTCAAAACTTAGCACCTTGCGGGTAAATATTTATTCCCCATCCTTAACTAAACTAAATACATGAAATTTAACAGATTTTTTTTAATCTAAAATTATTAATGATTATTTATTAATATATATTTATACTCTTGTCGAAGTTGATCCATGTTATTACAATTTATTTTAAATCAGTCGATAATTTCTCAACTCAAATTCAATAGATCTAAAAGAAAGTTCTTATTATTTCTCAATTGAAATATAGATATTAGATCGGACACCACACTAATGTGTCAATATTAATAATAATTTAATTAATTAAATGTAATCACATGTTTTCATGTCTTATCATGTTATGTCACATACATACATTTATTTAAAAGTATATGTGCTACATTTGTATTTAAAATGATTTCACTAATACAAGACATGATATTGTTTTTTTATGTTTAAAATTATAACGAAATGTGATTTTGTTTATATGTTGCAGGAGGAAGATCAACCATATAAGCTGGAGTGTGCTCTAATTAGTTCTTAGTTAAAATAAATAAATAAATATGTTATAAATTGTATGAGTTAGTATCCTTAATTTCATCCAATAGTTGGGTCTTTTTTTTTCCTAATATCGGGTATAATTAACTAAAGTGTTAAAGAAGTTTGGGGCCAAAGCTACTTCAGCTTTGTAGTTTTTTATATATAAATAAAGGTTTTGTTTCAGACTTTGTTTATGGATATATTATGATATTTCTTTACCATGTCTTTCTTTTCTTTTTTTATAAGTAAACAAACTTGAATTAATGAAGAGTTGATTGATTAAGTATCTTAGCATTCACACCACCATACCTGAATATTGATAAATCAAGCCAGATTGGCTTATGCTCCGATAGGATTCTCTATAGCCATTGGTCAAAATAGGACTCCAACTTTCCTATCTTAATGGATTTTCACCTGCACTTACCCCTATGACATTGAAATGAATATTTTTGTTGGTGTATAAAAAGTAAGAGAGAATATATTTACTTATATAAATGATTGCTACTACTAATCATTAAGTTAAAAGATATAAATTAAGAAATACTAAACTTAACAGCTATGTTAACAAATTCAGTTCCAAAACTCTAGAAGTTAAGCATACTTCTGGGCGTAACTTCAGAAGCTTCTGTTTCTGACTAATTACAACTTCTGATTACATCAAACTACTGCTTCTAACTAAGCAGTCTCAGAAGCTTATAACTTCTGGCTAACAATCTCAGAAGCTCTAATGCTTCTGAATAACAACATCTTCTAAATATGCAGTATTTCCAACACTATCCCTTAATTCATATTCAGCTAACCAAAAATCTTCAACACCAATTCCATCCCTCAAACGGATAAAATGTTCAGTCTTGACATCCTTCGTCAGAACATCTGCAAGTTGCTTCTGGTTGTTATAGTGTGCAACTTATAATACTTCATTTAGAAGTGCAGATTTCTCCTTGATAACCCATCTGACGCTGATATTTTTCTTCTTCTTCGGAAGCTCAGTCAACTTCCAAGTCTTGTTTCTTTCAATAGTATCAAGCTCTTCTTATATGCCCTTCAGCCACACTTTCTTCTTGAGAGTTTCACAGGTTGACAACGCAACCACCAGTGACTTCTTGGAGCACCAAGAAATAGAACTTTCCAGATACAAACAAAAATATCCAGAAATATTTCTTCTGTCAACTGTCTTCATACCAACCAGAGTATGGATAGTATATCAGCTCTGCATCTTATCTAACACTAAAAGGGAATAACACTTCATACCTCAGAGTCCCTTTAGTATCTCGCAGCTTGTCAAACTCTGCAAATCTCCTTGGTATATTTCTGACTATATGTGGCCTCTGAACTTGTTCAGAATTTTGTTCTGATTCTGAAACAATATCATCTCCTTCAGAACTTTCTTCAAAAGTTTGACTACCACCAGAAGCTCCGCCTTTGTTAGATTCTGGACCTCGTTCAGAACCACTACCTTCAAACATACCATCTTCAAAAGTTGGATCACCTTCAGAAGCTCTGCCTTCAGAAGTTCCACTTTCAGAATCATGATCACCGTCAAAGGCTGGATTACCTTTAGAAGCCCCCTTCTCCAGAAGGTCCACCTTCAGAAACATGATTTCCTCCAGGGATTCAATGGCTCGGTCATCGAACCTTGTAGCTACGTCGAACTGATTATCACACTCAGAGAAGCAGAAACGGCCAAATCTGTCAAGACTCAGTTCCCTGTGGTAGACTTACTGTCATTGTATCCATGTATTATGGGGAGACCTACCCTAACCGAAATGATATTGGTACCCTTTATCGTGCACCTGAAGATGAAATACTACACCGCAGATAGACTTGTTTCCACCCTCCACGAAGACATATAGGCTACAATGAGATGCTTCAAAACAGTCTCCGAGGGTTTAAGCTCCATCAACTCACAGCCCATAACGACCAACATACCTACTCTGCCTTGAAGTTCCGAGGAACCAAAGTCACTGACACATGTCAATTTAATCTACCTTGACTGCCACTTCTCCTAGGATAACCTACGAGAGAAAAATAAGAAGAAGAAGGGAAAATAAGCCCAACTAACTGCATGAAGCTCTTCCTCAACAACTAACAGTGAGGAGCCCACACACCCTCTGAGGCCAATTCTTGACGGTGAGTTCGAAATCATCCCCTTCGCAGCGACCCCTCCAAAGGAGTCAAAATCAGTGCTGGTCTCCCCGACTTGGAGAGAAGACAGCTAAAGGCGTGCCTAAGGGAGAATGCATACTTGTTCGCCTGGAGCGCAGCAGAGATGCCCGGCTTGGATCCAGAGATAGCATGTCATCAGCTGACAATATATCTTGCCCTTAAGGCAGTTGTCCAACGTAGGCGCAAGCAGTCTCTAAAGAAAATGGAGGCTGCCGAGTATTTTGTAAAAGACCTCCTAGAGGCAACATTTATCTATGAAGCCCAGTATACAACCTGGATATCCAATGTTGTACTCTTAAAGAAATATAATGGAAAATGGCGCATATGTGTTGATTATACCGATCTTAATAAGGCTTTCTCTAAAGATGCTTATCCTTTGACGAACATAGATAAATTAGTTGATAATTCTGCAGGTTTTAAATTGTTGTCTTTCATGGACGCATATTCTGGGTACAACCAGATTCCCATGGTGAAGACAGACAAAAAATACACGACCTTCATGACCGAACCAGATAACTATTACTACAACGTAATTCCCTTCAGCCTGAAGAATGTCGGTGTTATGTATCAATAGATGATGAACAAAGTCTTCCAAGGAGAAATCAGAGACATGATCAAAGTATACATGGATGACATGATCATGAAATCCCAAGAGGAAACTGACCATGCGCTCCATTTAAAGAAAATCTTTGACCAAGCAAGGAAATGTCGAATGCGATTCAACCCAGAAAAATACACCTTTGACATATGGGAAAACAAGTTCCTCGATTTCTAGCTAACAGAATGGAGAATTGAAGCCAACCCCGACAAATGTCGAGCATTTTCTGAGTTTCCAACGCAGAACTCAAACATAATGCTCACTTTCTTATCACGATATGTGGCAAAATCTTCTAAGCACTTCCCCTTTTCAAACTTCTTTGTAAGGAGGCAGCATTTGAGTGGACTGAGAGATGTGAATGTGCCCTCCTCTACCTCAAACAGGCGCTATTACAGCCACCAGTTCTTTCACGACCAGACAAAGAAGAAATTCTCTACCTCTATTTGGTCGTGGCACTGAGGCCGTTAGTGTAGCCCTTATTCAGGAGACCCCCGAGGGACAAAAACTCATTTATTTCACGAGCAAAACTTTGCAGGATCCAAAAGTAAGGTACCAGCAGATCGAGAAGTTGGCCCCATCGCTCATTAACACGGCGAAGATGTTAAGACACTACTTCCTCACACACACAATTGTGGTTCGGACAGACCAACCAGTAAAATAGTTGCTCAGTCGACCTGACATGGTGGGAAGAATGCTCAAATAGTCATGATCAGTGGTTTTTCCACCTTAATTTACAGTTGATTTTAATTATAGTTTATTTATTTTGTCAAGTGTTTTATTTCATTCTTCTTTGTTTTACGCGTTGGTTATATATTTTGTTATTTTCAGGCTCAGCGGAATAAAACCAGGAAAATCAGTGCGAAAAATGCAAATCTGGAGTTTTAGAGGAAGTCTCAAAAACCAAGCTACTGGGTGCCTGGCACGGCCACCTGTGTCACCTGATACGGGTCGTGTTAGGAGAGGATGCATAGGTGCAGTTCGGGAGAAGAAGGCAGAGACTGACAGGGGTGCTCGTGTTAGAAGGTTTGGGCGAGAGGTTTTGTTGGAGAAATGGACAGAGGACAACACAGGTGCCTGTGTCAGGTGACACGACCCGTGTTGGCCAGAACGATGATTTTGAGTGTTTTTATGATTTAAGACCCAGAGGGGAATTTTGGGCATTTCCGTCTGAGATAAATGGATTGTTTAGTATTTAGCTAAGTTGAAATAGGAATGACTGGACTTTTTTCCAGAGCGAAGAATAGTTTACACGACTGAAGATTGGGGAGATCGAGTTTCTTGGAGAGTGGAAGATTCTCATGAGCAGAAGCAATTGAAGATTCGAAGCTATCCAATTACTTGTAATGTCTAATCTTTATCTTGTATCCAATTCGAAACTATCCATTGCTAGGGGAGTGTCCCTGATTTAACTCTGTAAATGACTTTGATTTCTAAATTTATTTAATACAATAGTCTTTTCTATTCAATTTAATCGTGCAACATTTTCATGCTTTCCTGATCGGATCAATTAGGATTGATTTATGGTTAACAACCAGTCGGACCGTGGTTGTTAAGGTTTTTGTATGATTAGGCTATAGTAAATATTACCTAGGACTAGGGATACCCTATATTTACCAGATAACTCTTGATAAAACAAATGCTTGAATCCATCATATATCTCTAAGGACTTAGGATTTAGGACGGATGTTCAAAGGTTTTCCCACTAAGGAC